TGTAACTCCGATGCCTGATCTTCCACCACACATCTATCTCTGATTACGTTTCCTTATAGTGTGCATTAAACTCATCTTCACCATCTCAGTACCTAGTCTCACTTACTCATCTCTCGTTGCTTATTTCTGCTATGTACTTCTACATCTCCTGGCCACTGAAAGGGCGTAACCCTCTGTTAGCCCGCCAGCTCTCCGGACTGGAATGAAGTGTCGTCAAAAAAAAATTATTCAAATTTTCAGTGGGGCCAAGACTAACAACTATGTGTGGTATTACACTTCATGGACATCTGTATGATATCCTCCTTATTAATTGACATAACCCTAGCATGTGGTGGGGTCGATTGTATGCACATGCAGTGAGTTGGGGTAAAGTTAGAAGGCGTGGCTTTTGGAAAGATTCCTTTAAGGTCGGTCCAGCACTCCGGGGTACTTTTACCGTCCTGGAGGGACCATTGCAGCTTCACTGGCCCCCAAATATAATTGAAAAATTAGAGAAACTGACAAAAGTGATATGATATTAACGATGTATATTACCAAATATAAAAATAAAACGAATGTTCACTTATCAACCTACTTCAACTGTATCGTTTGATAAAAATAGAGGAAACAAATAATAAAAATGTTGGGCAAACATTAAGCATGATATAGGGATGGCAATTCCAAAAAATACAGAAACAAGTTAGGGATGAATACACAAAACCATACAAACATCCCTACATAAGTAGCCAGTTAATACTGAGTCAATCTTACAAGCTTATGGTTATTAGCCACTGTAAAGCACTATTACTAATTCATACAACTGACAGGAATTCAACATTTGATTGTAGATAAAAGTTCATCTTATGTAGTGAATTTTGTATGGTTTGGCGTAGTCATTCCTAACTTATTTTTGTAATTTTTGGCATTGTCATCCCTACATCATACTTCATACTTTTTTTATGATATATTATTCTGTGAGTCTATCCTTAAGCATATTTAAGCAACTTTCTCGATTATTTGACATGGTGACAAGTATCCTTGTAACAGAAAGTACTGCATATACTTCCAACAGAGAACATACGAAGGACACATACCAGAACTTATCATCGGAGGAATGTGTCTTGTAGCTTCCTTCGCGGCAACGTTTCTACCCGAAACTCTGCATGCTAAATTACCACAGACTATAGAAGATGGAGAAGAATTTGGTGAAAAACAGAAGTATCTTTCTTGCTTTGGGTACGAATTTATATGTTTCCTTTTTTTTTCTTTTGTCATTGTTTCTGTGATATTTTTTATCATTTGGTGTAGTTATTTTTGTTTCTTAGTACTTTTAAAAAATAAACAAACAAACACCATTTTACGCATTGGGGAGGGACTAATTTTCGTAAAATAAACTATGTAAATAAATAAACATTATTTTTTAAGTCGCATAATAGCATTCTACTTTAAAAAAGTAACTTTTTATTTGTAAATATGCAATTAATGCGCAAAGTTCAAATAGTTCGTGTATGTATGATAAATCATGTGAATATTTTAGGGTAAGAAAGGACTAAGGCCAATTCATATGAAAAACCTTGAAAAAGTAGAATACGATACATGTAACATGTAAGAACTGTTACAGACCTAATATCATCAGTATAGCATGTAAGAACTGTTACAGACCTAATATC